GCAACAGCAGCGCTGATGCTAGCTTCAATGGCAGCAAAATATTTGGTTTAACAATTCGTCTTCGGTTTGAGAAATGAGTAACAATTCACTCTTTTTATCAACCTCTTGAGAAATAGGGCACGTTTTTAGATTTACTAGTAAGCTGCAGCATATTGTAGTGTTTCAGAGGTATCTCAGGCTTAGTTACAGTTGCTAGGCTATGTAGGGCCAACTGGGTGAACCAGTTTGCTGCAGCGCCACCCTGAGGTAGTCCAGTCCTGAATATCTAGTTAGTTAAGAATATCAAAGACAGAAGCTGAGCTAGTCGGTGATGCAGCTGAACAATGACTTTTCCCTAAATTTGTATTTGAGCGTCTATTTATCCTTATCGAATAGCATAATGTCATAAGTGTATTTCCAGGCCCCCCTCGGAATTTTGATTTTGAGACATTCAGGGGGTCAAAGAGGTTAATAACCCCCCAGAACACCCTGTATTGCTTATAGGTAGCCTGAAATAAAACAGTTACATGCACAGAAACTGGTCTAGAATGAGGACAGAGGCAATATAAAACAGTTATCAAACAGACCCTGGAAGACTTGTACAATGTAAAGACAGAAGGGCAGGGGCTCAAGGTCAACACCTTAATTTTAAACTTTCATGGCTATTCAAATACTTAGACTCATCCCTAGAATGTAAGCCAAAAGCCACCAATTAGCATGAAATCATTCTCATAATTTCATCTATTATTAGCAACATTAGCATGATTAAGTGCGCCATCACTTTAATGGTCGTACATTCAAACCTTCACATTTCTTGCTTTTCACTTGCTGCGTCAGCTTGGCTAGTTAGAGCATATCTATGGGCAAATATCACCTGATGGCAAGAAACAGCAGGCAGAGCATTGTGCTAATGACCAAGTAAAGTAGTGACATGCACAACCAATCAGATTTCACTGCAGTCTTCCATGGTGATACTAGCATATGCCTTTGAAATAGCTTACATATGTGCTACATATTCATGTGAACATTACGTAAACATTGCTATTTTCAGTCTAGCTCCAGTTTCTGTGGTGTTTAAGCAAAGCCCTGCAGCCTGGGCAAAGCGTGAAGATCCTGAGCTAGCAGCTTGCACTGCATAATCAGGCTTAGGCTCTCACAGCATGCAGGCCCATGCTTCGGCATCACACGCTGTGTAATGAGTTAGCGGTGGCAGAGGCTGTTTGGAGCCGCCAGACTGGCCAAGAAATATCCTGTCTCAACACCTGGCTAACTGACTGGCCAGGCAGGTGTATTGCCTCAGCAGTTTGACCGCGGCAATGTGAGCAGCCTTCTCCCTTTCTACAGACTCTGCTCATTAGCATCACACGCTATACCAAACATTAAATGTCAGCCGTCCTAGCATCTCAGTGTCTTTTTGTTAAAAGTATGTAATTTATGGAGACATTTTACATGGTTGGGTCCATTGCAATGCACATTTTTGTGTCTGTGTTCGCTCACAGTTATGTGAGTTAGCCTTAAGCCTTTTATTCATGCTAGCCTCAAGCTCAGACTAGTGTTTGTATAAGTCATTTTGTTGGCTTATGGTGAATTTCACCATTAGCAGAATTCAGGCACTAGAAGCTTTGCTGTAAGCTATTATACGGTTTTATCATTAGTTAAATGAAATGCTATACAAGCTCTTGGAATTACTCATTGCTACTGAGTCACTGGTTTCCGCTGAAAGGCTATTGATGCTGTGAAGTCAGTGGTTTCCAAGCGTTTATGAGGACTGTCATGTCTGTGAAAGAACATTAGCATCAGGAAGCCCAAATAGAAGAAACCCATGTTTCTAAAAGGATACAATTTCTAACCATGTTCCCAACATCCAGCACGCCTCATTAGCAGCATCCATGAACATGCCTGATAGCCATTAGAGCGTAAGAAAGTGCCATGAGAAGAGAAATTAGCGAGGTGGTCTTCAGAAATTCAAACTCATAATATAGATGCCAGTGGCCCAGCACCAGAAGTAAATAATGAGTGTGACATCTGAAAACCAGGGAGGTTGGGGCAGAAAAAAAACATAACAAAGAAAAAAACAGCTGAGGAAAACACAGGATGAGAAATCTATGGTAAATCTGTCCAAAAGAGCCACACATTCAGGAGAGAATTAGCATAAGAGCCACATATACAGCCAATTACAAGGTCTACCCATTTACAAAATCTGTCTGCTAATGTACACTATATGACCAAAAGTATGTGGAAACCTGACCATCTATTAGTTTGCTGGACATCCCATTTCAAAAGCATGGCCATTAATATGTGGCTATAACAGCCTCCACTGTTCTGAGAGGGCTTTCCACAAGAGTGTGCCCATTCTGTCAGAAGACTATTTGTGAGGTCAGACACGGATGTTGCATGAAAAGACCTCTCTTGCAATCGACACTCCAATTCACCCTCACAGTGTTCAGTGGGGTTGAGGTCCGGGCTCTGTGCTGTTACTCACTTTGTGCACAGTCATGCTGGAACAGGAAAGAGTCTTCTCCAAACTGTTACCACAAAGTTAGAAGCATATAATTGCCTGAAATGTCTTTGTGTGCTGTAGCATTAATGTTACCCTTCACTGGAACTGGGCCCAAACTCTGAAAAACACCCCCAGACCATTATCCCTCCTCCACCAAACTTTACTGTTGGCACTATGCATTCTGGTATGTAGCGTTCTTCTGGCATCCACCAGTTGATTCATCACATACTGCCAGATAGTGAAGACATGATTCAAAACACGTTTACAATGCTTGAGAGTCCAGTGGTGGTGTGCTTTACACCACTCCAGCCGACACTTGGCACTGCACATAGTGATCTTAGGCTTGTGAACAGCTGCTTGGTTACTGAAACCCATTTCATGAAGCTCTTGATGCATATTTCTTGTGCTGATGTTACTTCCAGAGGCACCTTGGAGCTCTGTAGTTAATGATACAACAAAGGAGAGGCAATTTTTGAGCTCTACGTGATTCAGCTCGTAGGGTTTAGTTTCACTTTGATCCAGTGATGCACAAGTTTTCTAGAGTCAGCTCCAACTCTTGACTCCTGCCAGTGGAGTCAATCGAGTCCGACTCCTTGACTACCCTTGATTTTAACCAAGATCGCACCAAAGCCGTTGATAAAGGAATATAGCAGAAAATAAACCATCTTAAGCATAGTTTATCCACTTTTTTTTGGGTTGCTACAGATCAGAGTGATGTTTTTAAGTATATTAAGTTGTATACACAAATTCAGGTTCATAGTAATTTTTACCTGGAGATGCCTTGTAATTAAACAAACTTGTGCTAGTCAAACTCTCAAGCCAGTCATTGTGAAGAAAAAAAAATGGACTTAACAGAGTTAACTTCAAGCACTTTTACATTCAGATTTGTTGGCAACTCCCAGACGTGTCAAAGTCGAATCTTTTGGAGTTGATGCCACTCCACTACTTAGACACAATTTTTTTTTTACTTACCACAATAGAAGAATGTACAGCATAGTAGGTTTATAGGGGCATTGACCTCTCCCTGATGAACAGTATAGTGGGTCTAGATTAAAGCAATAAGTCACCTGAAGCCATGCATTATGGTGATTTTATTAGTGATAACATCGCTGTAATGCTTGGCCTCAAGTGTCTTATTGCTTTCATAAAATAGTGAGAGCATAAAATTAAAATGCATAAACCTTTCAGTAAATGAATTATAATTACTAACAATTACATAAAACAATTTATCCACCAATGTAGTTTATTTAGATTGGCCTGCTGAAGGAGGATAAGAACAGCCACCCATCACTGTATATTATAGTAATTTCATGAACTTTTACTTGTTTTGTCTTATAATACTGAACACATTGTATCTGTTTTTAAGCAGAAACCTTAATTCTCCAAAATACCACATCAACGATAACGCACATTTCCACCAGTGCCTTTCCTGCGTTGTGTTAGCATCAAGCCAACGGTGCCACCCATTGTGTTTTCCCACACTTGGTTTAACTCTCCTTAAGGCAGATCCAACAGTCCACGCAACATATCGTTTACTTTTTATCCTAAGTTTTGCAGTGAATCATATAGTACATTAATGGAGGAGCTGTTTAGTCTTTTAGCTTAGCTGTTAAGAAAATAAGTTGTTAACTTTGTTGGCTTCATCTCTCAATAGGCTCGGTGGTCCATGCGAGCAGTATAACAGTCCATGAGCAGCACAGGTTCTTAGTGAGTTGGCACTTTAATATAGTATTTCAGTTGTTGTTGAGGTGGTCAGGTGTGCATATATCAAGTATTTTACAATGTCTTTGTGGTTCAGCCAGCCAGATTTTAAGACTATCCATTTTGTAAATGCATAATAAATGTATGACAATCTCATCCCACAGCTGTTCAAGTAAGCACACCTGAGTCAGTGGTGGTCCAGAGTAAACAGGCTAAGCGTATTTTAGTCAGGAGCATTCTGCTGTGGGATCTGTCTAATAACTGACACACAAAGCATTATTTATGCTGTGTTTAGCATGCCAATGTGCTTGCTTTATCCTTTGGCTTTATGCTAATGCAGTATATGCAATGCCTTTTGAAGGACCCATATCCTACATTACATCTTTATCTATCTTATGTTTTCCCCGAGGTCCACTTAGGACATTAATGTAATTTTGTGTATCAAAACTAGCATAATTCATTTTAACATGACCATTTTCCAACCTATATTTATCCCTTAGAATTCAACAGGCTGTTTTTTGTTACTGTCTCCTTTAAGAATGCTATATGTGAATGAGCTCTGTTGTGATTGGCTGTCTTTGCAGCTTAGTTTCTGTATATGTACTGTGTTTATAGTCCACATCAAAAAGTGAGGAAAAATTAGGCTTTCCACAAAATTGGCTCTTTAATTTTCTTCTTATGTTTTTTCCATTGTTCACAAGGCATTGATTGCATCTACAACTGATGTGCATTTTCTAACACTATCACTTTAAATTAGGGTATTCATGAAATGCCTTGATCCAGCCCTAGATTTGAACCTTTCAATCTATCTCATGTTCAGGGTACATTGAGGAGGCCTGCATCATTCCTTGCCCATCCGACTGCAAGCTCAGCGAGTGGTCCAACTGGTCACGCTGCAGCAAGTCCTGCGGCAGTGGGGTTAAAGTGCGCTCCAAATGGCTCAGAGAGAAACCGTACAACGGTGGGAGACCCTGCCCTAAACTGGACCACATCAATCAGGTACGGAGCCAGCCTTAAAGAGCCCACATTACTACTTTTTTGTTGTTTTTTACCTACTTTTTGTTGTTTGGTTTAATTCATGTTTATATGGTCGTTTTCAGCCTGTTTTTATCCCTTAGAATTAAACAGGCTTGTTACTGTGCCTTTAAGACTGACTTTACTTTTGAAACTTTAATGCAACTTTAGTTGCTTGAAACAGACAATTGCACTTGAGTTGCAAGATGTAAAGCCTCTTGCAACTTATTTGAAACTTAGCCGCAACAGTTGCAGCCAACCCAGCTTTGTGGAACTAGTTTCATGGTTTTGTGAAACAGCAGTGATAATGCATCACATGATCATAACCAACGACATCATTTCAAGTGATTGATTTCACTGGTCCAATAGTAATGCAAGTTCAGTTGCTTGAAACCTAAATGAGACTAAATTTGCACTTGAGCTGCATAATGTAAAGCATGCTGTGACATACTAGAAACTCAGCAACACCAGTTGCAGCCATCTCAACTTTGTTAAACCATTTTGACTTCACGTTTCATGAAACAGCCAATCAGAATAGTAATAAATCAAGTGATTATATAGAATTACAGACTTGCCTTTATAGCAAGAACAATCCGGTATATCAAAATATATGAACTTGCAAATTTGATTTGGTTTTTGAATTGTTTTACGTAACTGTCAAGTTATACAGAGATCATGTTGCAGGCAACTCACAACATGCAACTAATTGCAGGAAAAGTTTCACCATGTAAAGTCTGTCATAAGATGTGTAGGTCCTTTGGAAGACTGCAATGATCCATTTGCTTCCCGACAGCCAGGAACAGGACAACGTTTAATTGTTTTCACCACTTCTTCCAATAGAATATCTCTGTAATAGACTGTCTGCAGAAACAACATTCCATATCACTTCACCAGGAATGAATGGCTAAACTGCTATAGACTGAATGGTTAGTCATATGGAAATGTGTTCATGGTTGCGGCATCAGTTTCCTTATATGGTCTATATGTTTGTACATTATAAAACTCCAGCGATGTTTATTAAATAGATCAAACGCTTATTTAAAAAAAAAAGAGAAGATAATTCATTTTTCCATCATATGGCCTCCTAAAATGGCAGGAAAACATGTACAAAACAACAAGCAACCAGCAAAATAACCTCTTGTTTTATTTAAAACCGTGAGATCCATGGTGTTATATTTCATTAACAGGGCCAGCATTACTTCTGGATAGAGTTATGCATTGAAAAATATTTCACGTTTGAAGTGCAGACATATCCAAGCGAGCCAAAAAGGAATGTGTCAGCGTTTCTTGTCATCCCTATTTTTATTTCTTCTAGAAACGGTTCTCATCAGACCTGAGCTCCTCTGAACCGCCCACCAGCCGCACACTCACTCTCAGATACGATTTCGTTTGCGAAATGGAACACTTCCCCCTCTGTTTCTAAACAGATTATCACAGCTGGATCGAGGTCATGATGATCTGAAATGTAGATGTTTGTTTTCCCCCTCCAGCTTCGTATCTGTTTAGCCAGGTTCTTATTTATGTTTTGAGCACAAAGCGTGAGCATATGTTTATTTTAGTGTCTAGACTGTGAAATTATGCTGTTTTTTAAATCTATTCTTGTTAACAGGCCTGTTCAGTTGCATGAAAAGTTTAGGCGCCCATGGTAGAATGGCTTGTTTCGTTGATTTTCTAAGTGAAAATAAGTTCACACGTCCTCCACAGAGAGCACACTTCTGCACATTTTAATACACAGTTACTGTTTATTTGCTGATTTTACCATAGTAGGGGAAAAAAAACATAAAATGTGCAAAAGTTATGGCACATTTTCTGTTTTGTTTTCTTTTTCCAACATGTTAAAACTCAACAAATACCACCATGGGCACCCAAACTTTTGCATACGAGCGTATGTGCAATTGTGATAAGTTGTTTCAAAATGTTCTGGTCAATTTTCTCATGTCTCCTTTCTCCAACTCTCTTAAAATGCTGCTCGAGCACAGGCTCAGGTAAGCACTGACTTTCAGCACCCTCACTGGCATTACAGCTACTTGAAAAATGGTGCTTGGCATTTTTACTGCATTCATTTTTACTGCACTTCTAAGCAACTGAATGCCATACTGTTAGAGAAACCAGGTGTTAAAATGCTTTGTCTTTTTGGCAGAGTTGCTTAGTTTTGGGCCTTTTTAGCTGATTCATCCATTGCGCACATGTGTATATCCCTGCTGAAGGTGTACGAGGTGGTCCCATGTGTGAGCGATTGCAGTCAGTACGTCTGGGTGGCCGAGCCATGGAGTATGTGGAAGGTCAGCAATGTGGACCTGAAGGAAAACTGCGGCGAAGGAGTGCAGACGAGGAAAGTCAGGTATGCTTCTGTCTCTTTTTCAGTTGACCTTTGTGCTTTTTGCTCTTTCTGTGTTCTTGGCTACTGATTTGTTAGAGACATTGTTCACTGGCTAGTCTGTGATAGTTGTAGTAAACAGTGATAGTTGTAGTAAACATTATGAGCACATATACAGTTGGGTGATAAAAGAAAAACCCAAAGAAATGAGTGCAGAGTAGAGCTGCCATAAAATGTGAGGTTCAGTAAAGCTGTATGATATCATCATGACGATATAAACCACTGGTAAAACAATGTGCCTCTGGCTGGGTGTAATGGAAGTGCAGACATTTTGTTGGGTTGTGTAAACAGAAATCTAACTGACCTCTCTTTAAGTCCCTCTTTAAACAAACAAAATACAATTACAAAAGCACTGTTTACTGTTCTGCAAATGAAAAGACATGAAATACTAACAACTACTTACATCAGCAATGCAAGCACTTTCTGTGTGCACTGAAGGGCTGAGAAACAGTCAGCATCCCCTCAATAGCTTTTTCTATAAAGGCAACAAAACCAAATAAATATAATTAATATATAATTTATTTTTTCATATAGAAACACAAGAACAAATACATATTCTTGTTTCATTTTTTTTGTTTAGTTATTAAATATTGTGCGGTCAGACACGCCGGGTTGTATCGAGTGTAGAAAAACATTGTTCTTGCTTTTGGTTGAGTGTAGTTAGGCACCGTGTTCTTCTTTGGTTTGGAACTCTTATTTTTCAAGGACTCTGGGGGGTGTAAGGTAGCGAGCTTTAGTAGTTCAGCTGGCTAGTAGGAAAACAGTATAGCCTGAGCTAGCCTGTGTGCTGCATGTTTTCCCCTTTGCTGTACATTGTTTTGAGTTGAATTTCCATTAAAGCTTAAAGGTTGAGCTGTTCTTAGGTTATAGAAGTGTGTAATAAAGCTTTGGACCCGCTGGAGGGCCCTGGCCATTTAAGGGGTAATATACTTTGTTGACTTCACTTCTGTTGATTTCATGTTTCTTTTTACAAATAAACTTCAAGCATTTGAAAAATCAAAAAAAATATTTACACTGTAAGGATATTTTACCCGAATTGCACATGGAATATTGCACATGAAGTATTGATTATGTTGCATATGGGAATGGTGATGAATTAACAATATAAACATTTATTTGCTTTTTCTATTTATAATCTTTATAGAGATATTTTACACCTATTGCACATGGAGTATTGATTATATTGCACTTGGGTCTGGTGATGAATTCACAGTTTATGTTCTGTAGGTGTGTGAGGTCTAATGGGGGTGGAGGAGGGTTCTATTGGAAGCAGGGCTTGTTGTACAGTCTAGCAGCAGCAGGAGGCACGGACCTGACATAGTGCTCCTTCACACACTTGGGGTGAAGCAGCCTGTCACTGAAGGAGCTGCCCAGTGCTGCCAGGAAAATACTGTAGTGAATCTTAAATCAGCAGGATATGAGACTAATCTAGCATTACACACCACAGCTTTCAGTACACACCCCATTCATTCCTGTCCTCCTAATGCAGGTGTATGCTGAACACGGTGGACGGCCCCACTGATGCTGTGGAGGACTACTTATGTGACCCTGAGGAGATGCCCGCAGGGACCCGGGAAAGCAGGCTGCCCTGCCCGGAGGACTGCGTCCTCTCCGACTGGAGTCCCTGGACACCCTGTGAGCTGGTAAGAACTGAACTCCACTTGCAATCCATCCTGTTGTACCACAGCGCAAAGACCACCCCTCACCTATTAAATGTCCAGTCAATACAGCCATTAAGTACAAGTTATTCATTTTTGATTCTCAGAAAAAAAACTAAACATATATTTAACAGAAAATCCAGAAGCTTCAACAACTAAATCATTTTGTTTTCAGTATTTAGTGCGTTCTTCTTTTTCCTTTATTACAGCTTCCATTTTCAGGAGACTTGCTTTCTGTGTTTTAGTGAAACCTGCAGGGATATTTTTTCACACCTCCAAAATTCAGTTGTAGAAGTTGGTTCCATTTTCTCTGTATCAATTACCAATTTTCGGACAGCAGTTTAAAAAAAACATTTAAATGAAAAGTTTTTTTAATTAATTTTCTTTGACTTTTCTCTTGTGTATGGATTGTCTTCTATCTAATCTCCTCAGAAATATCTCCTAAAAAAATTATTGACTTGTACTCGATGGTCGTTTGGACTGGAAACAACACCCATCGCTATTCACAGAAGTTTGGTCAAATCAGCAGCATCAGTTGGTGTTAAATTAAGCATGGTCTAGTTGCAGCAAATTCAGGTTAACTCTGAATCGCTGTGCAAGTGATTTTAGGATGATGTGCTTGAGAGAAGTGGAAAGAAAGAGAGATAGGGTCGAAGTATGTTCCTTTACCTTTTACAGACATTTTAGTGACAAAATCTAATGCTAGGGAATGACATTGGCCCTGATTAGTGTGAAAGAATTACACCTCGTGTGGCGTCACTTCACTTCGCTATTCTCAATCCTTTTAACCTCCGTCAGGAATGGTTGTGACTGGCAGCCTTGGGTTTTTTCCTGACTATCACAACAAACAACACCACAGTGCTGCGAGAGGATATCTGCTAAAACATGTAACGTGTATCCAAGCTAGTTGCAGATCAACTGTGGCTCTGCAAATCATGACCTTTGGTGTTCCTCTTTTCTAATCAAGCTCTTAATCCAGGGGTGTCTAAAGTCTGACCCTTTGGCCAGATGGGACCCGCAGAGAGATTTTAATTGGCCAGTAGCTTCTGTTTTAGAGTGTGTTAAAGTAGCTCGTCAGCCAGTACGCTGCAGTTTTTCCTTTCACCTGATGGTGGCAGCACTGCTGTGAATTTATATTGTAATGCGAGCACTGTGGTAACGAAGTTCGCTAAAGTTGAAGAGCCTTTCTTCTCTGACTAGACCTGCAGCTTCATTTACTGAACCACATTTAGTCCAGACTACTTATTCATCGACAACCACAGCAAATGTGAGAGTCTCAAATGTAAAAAGACTGTAAGGAATTTAGTATCAACAAACATCAGTATCAGTGGAAACAAAGCAGAGCATTATGATAAATATTCAGGGAAAAATGTAAGTAGCTGCATCTACCAGAGTCTCACAGTACCACAGTACTTACTAGTCTAGAAGAAGTGTTGCGAGTTCAGCATCAAACTTCATCCCTTTACTCGCCAAGAGTTGTCTCCAGTGGTGGAAAGCAACACCAATGTTAACCCAACACCCATGTTAAACTCTTATAGTCGCTTGCCAAGAGTTTCAGCCATTGTTGCATTTACTGTTCCTTTCATTGGCTACCCATCCTTAAATGGTTTAGAACAAGTCTGTAACCAGTTACTATGATTGATGAGGTTAGAACACGCTCCGGGCAGTGCTGCTCCTTCATACTCTCGTGTTGGACTGATGGCAGACTTGACGCTGTGGTCACCTCTTGAAGTACCAAGTGGTTTTACGAGACAGTACAGGTCAGGGCTAGCTGTTTAGCATGCTAACTTCAGTAGATATCTCTGCAACACAATACATAGACATCTTTGACATAACGTCCAAACTGTTATTTCTACACATTCTGTTTATAATTTTAGTTCATTTTGGAATGTTTTACACTAAAAAATCATACAAAATGCACCTTTAAGGCTTTGTCGCCCCCCCTCTGGTACAAATGGAAACTATACTAGACATACTGAATGTTACTGTAAAATTCTCATGGTTTTAATAAAGAAAATGTTGATATTTATTGATCTTTTTTATTTATTAAGACAAAGCTGACACTGGACGTAGCAAATACAGATATTAGAGGGCAGAATAGAACATATATGTAAATTTTACTTATTTTATTGGGAATTTTGTTCCGATTTATCAATTTTTCTGCTTAACAACCGTCTTGAAGTCTTGTCCACAGTATTGTCTATTTGCCTAACTTGCCTTGGTAACTTCATTTGGGGTTAGAGAAAATGTTTAGATTTGACTTTTCACTGAACCACAGCTTTAAGAGTAGCTGCCAATTAAAGAGTTATGTAAACTGAGATATGTAAAACATCCCGCTTCATGCTAATTAGTAGCTTCCGGCTTTTGCTGGTCTTTAGCCATGTTAGCATTAGTGGTTAAGCTGTGTATTCCAGCTTATTCCAGTTTCCCTTCAGAAAGTTCATGCTCCCAGTCCTTTTCCCCGCCTCGAGATGTTATTACTCACACGCTATTCACTTTAAAGGCCTGACATTATGGCCCCCCTGCAATCTGGCTCTGAGTGTGGAGTCTGCAGTCGATGCCCCATGTGTTATTCATGACACGAGCCGGAGAAGTTATTCCAGTGGTGTTTCCCTCTGGACCTAAAGCCGGAGCCAGCAGCCGGGCAAAGGCAAACATTAGCATTGCAGCGGCACTGCTGTTCAGAGCCTGGCCCTCCTGGCTCCTCTCGCCCGCTCACTCTCTTGCACTCTGTCATGCTCTCTCACTCTTTTTCTCCGTTCTCTTTCTCCCTGCTGTCTCACTCTTGCTCTCTCTCGCCCGCTCTCTTTCTCATCTGGGTTATGACGAGAGGGATCTTGTTATTTTCGGGACTGTAAATGACTCCGCCGAGATCCGCTGGTCCGCTGGGGGGCCAAAACAGCGGCGTGGAAAAATCAGAGTGACCCGTTTTGATGCTCTTACTCGGACAACACTCGGTTGGCTCTGGGATGAAGAAAAAGAGAGCAGTTTTTTTTTCTTTTTCTGTGATCTGCCACCACCTGACTCTTACCACCAGCTGCTAAGCACATTTAACTGTTATTCACAAGAGAGCATATGCTGTAGTGTGTGCAGACCTGCTAATGAAGTGTGTGTGTGGGTGTGTGTGTGTGTGTGGGTGTGTGTGTGTGTGTGTATTCTGAAGCCCTGTAGCGGTCGAGGCGATCGGCAGAGGACGGCCTACGCCCTGCGGCTGCCTAAAGAGGGGAGAGAGTGCCCTAAAAGCATGGAGACTGAGCCCTGCCTGCTCAACAGGAACTGCTACCACTACAGCTACAACATCACAGGTATCCACAAAGCAGCAAGCGCTAAAGAAACAGTGCAACCAAAAGCGCTGAAGTCACTAAAAACAAATGACAGCTAGAGGCCACTATTTAGCGTATCTCACGTCTCCCCTTGACAGTCAATTACTTCTTTCCATCATGGTTAGCCAGATTAGCATTACTGGTCAAACTTTTTCTTTTGTAGCATAATTTAAGTTAGGCCTTGCTAAACCACTGGATTCCATGTGTTGTTAGCCATGTTAGCATTTTTTTGTTAAAACTGTCCCTTTAATAGTAGCATTATTTCAAATTATGGAAGTCCGCCTTTGCCAGTGGATAACTAACTGGCTTTTTTGTTCTTAGCCACAGTAGCATTTTCTGTTAAACCGTTCTTTGAAAAGTGCCTTTATTTAGCATTTTACCTGACAGGCTTTTCTACTCAGATATGGAGTTATTGTTAGCCACATTATTGTCCCTTTAATTGTAATTTTTATAATGAAAGTTGACCTTGGCTAATCAATAACATAAATCGATATACAGGTTTTTATTTGTTGTTAGCTATGTTAGCGTTTTTGGTCAATCTGTCATTTAACAGTAGCATTATTTAGCATTATGGAAATGGCCTTTGCTAGTTCATAACACAAGGCTTTTATTTGTTGTTAATCAAATTAGCATTTTTTTTGTCAACTTTAAGAGTAGCATTATTTCCCATTTTGCAAGTTGGCCTTTGCTGATTAGTAACTATTGGCTTTGATGTTTGGTAACTGCATGAATATATTTGGTCAAACTCTCCTTTTATCATTATTTAGCATTGTTTAGCATGATGCAAGTCGATTTTTTCTAGTCAGTAACTACTGGCTTTAATTTTTTGTTGGCCACATTAGAGTTTGTAGTCAAAAGCGTCCCTTTAACACAGTATTTAGCATGATGTTAGTAACTTTGGCTTCCATTTATAGTCGTCCACATTAGTATTTTTGGTCAAGCTGTCCCTTTAACAGTAGCTTTATTTAGCATTTGAAAGTTGGCCTTTGCTAGTTAGTAACTGCTGTCTTTAATTTGTAGTTAACCATGTTTATTATATAATGGTCCCTCAAACAGAAGAATTATTTAGCTTTTTACTAGTCAACTGTTGGCTTTCATTTCACTCATATAGCTACAACAAAATTCAGTATTTTTTAATGGAAAAATTCTTTATTTTAGGGTCAAATTTGAGCAGATAAGACAAATGTGATTAATCATGATTAACTATGCAAAATAATGTAAAAAACTATGATTAAATCCATAAAAGAAATTAGATTAATTGCAAATAACTACACAAAATAATATATCTAATAGCGATCAACTACGTAAAAAATAATGCGATTGATTGCGATTACCAAACAAAATAATGTGATTACTTGCGATTAACTATGTAAAAAATAATGAGATTAATTGCGATTAACTATGTAAAAAATAATGAGATTAACTGCGATTAACTACACAAAATAATGTAAAAAAAAGTGATTAACTTTATAAAATAAATTAGATTAACTGTGATTAACTAAACAAAATAATGTAATCAATCGTGATCAACTACATCAAAAATTAGATTACTCACGATTGATTATTTAAAATAATGTAATTAATCACGATTAACTACACAAAATAATCACAGTCAACTACATAAAAATAATGCGATTAATCACGATTAACAAACAAAAATAGTGCGATTCATTGCAATCAACTACATGAAAATAATGTGATCAATCACGATTAATTATTTTAGCCCTGTTATAAATATGTGGCAGTCTAACGCTGCAGTTCAGCCGTCCTCAGAGGAGTCATTCTCTCTGATCCTCCTCTTGTCCCAGAGGCACATGGCCATTTTAGGCCACACTGTATGAGCGTTATGCCCAAGATCATTACTGGAAAAGCCTTTTAGTGTTCTCCTTCTTCCCCAGACAGACACAGAGCAAAGATCCACTGAATAATAGAAAACAAATTCTAGACGTTCTTAGAATCCCTTTAATGGTTTGCTGGCTTGTTTGGCATTCTGTAGTTGGTGCCACCCTGTTTTGTCCTAAATGGTCACCGGTATGACTTTAAGAATGAGGTTTACTGATGAGGCGCTTCATTGTTTATGACGTTTATGAGTTGAGACAAATGAGTTTATCATTTGTATGTTGAAGCTGTTTTTGCATGCTTGATCAAGACAGACTGATTGATGAGCACAGTATGACTTGTGATTGTGGTCACTGCTCTGTGTATTTGTATGGTTCCTCAGATTGGAGCACATGTCAGTTAAGTGCCAACGCTGTGTGTGGAATCGGCCTGAAGACTCGCATGTTAGACTGCGTGAGAAGTGACGGCAAATCTGTGGACCTCAAGTTCTGCGAAGAGGTTTGTGTACAGAGTTTCAGTGAAAATAAAAATGTGTTTAAAATGCATTAATAATATAATCTAAATAATATGAGCACGGTGCAAAATTTCTGGTCTAAGAAGCCATTAAGTACGAGTTATTCATTCATCAGAAGATATTTCTGAGGAGATTAGATACAAGATAATCCACTTGCATAAGGAAAGATGATTAAAAGATCCAGAGATAATAGGACACCTAACAACCCTCTGAAAGCCCTAATAGACCACCAAAAAATCAAGGTCCACTCTTGCTTCAGGTCTGAAAAAATCCACAGGTGTTTCTGTCCACTGTGAGACAACAACTCAGCGCTATGGGTCTGAAAGGATGAGTAGCTATCGAGAAGCCTTCACTGAGAAAAGGAAACAGACAAAACAGAAGAAAATGTGAAAATAAAACTGCTGGTGTTCTCAGAACAATGGACTGACCACCCCACAGTCCAGACCTCAGCATCACTGAATGTGTTTGGGATTACTTGGATTGTGAAAAGCACAAAGTGCAACCAGTTTCTAACCCTGCATTCACACCGGCACCAACTTTTCACCTGTTGTCGTGTAAAGGCCTCAGGATACTTCTTGTGAAATGAAATTCTCGAGGGTTGTGCGAAGCCGAAGGCGCCTTCGCAAGCTTATAAGCTCGCATACTTTCTGTGGTTTTGTGTTGCCTGTCGCGGATTCTCCACATGACGCTATGACATTTCATGATAAGTTTCTGCTGGAAAACGATTCTTTCACAGTTCTAACTATGGCGACGTTTGAGTTTAGAATACTGTCAGCATATAAGGTGGAATGGGAAAATTCAAACAAGAAGCTGGTGAATAGAAAGCCAACTTCAGCCTTGTCCTTGTTCTAAACCTAAATATAAAGTAACCTTTTGCTTACTACTAGTTAGTATTACCAAATACCAGACCTGGCATCGTATATTTAGGGTATATTCAATGATTATTTATCAAATGCGCGTTTCCCAGTCAAATATTAGTGTGTCTGCCAAAGCCGAAGCTCCTCAAAGTTGTCCACGCCTCTTTCTTACTGACCAATCACAGGCTTTGTCGCATAGCGTCTTGGTCCGAGGAGTTCACCCAGCAGCCATGTGCGACTTCTGCGGTTGTTCGCTTTCTCCGCAATTACGTCATGTTGTTTGCTGAAGCCAGGCGAACGTCGTCTCCGCAAGAAGTATGCAGAGGCCTTTAATCGCTGATCGCTCATCGCCTGTGGGCGTTTCTGAACCCCAACTGACCGTTGGTTGCCATGGTTTCACTGACACCAAGCACAAATCAGATGCGTTCCTGCTAAAATTGAAAGTCTTGGTGAGAAATCGCTTGTGTGCTTGTTATATAATCCCTGTATTTGTGCAGTCAGTATGTGAGGAGAACAGTGTTTGGTCTTTGCGATTACTGTCTATTCGTGGTGAAAGCACTGCTGCCATTATTCCACCTGTGGTAGGAACAATTATCTAGGAACCAAAAATGGAGCGTACTGTTTCACAGTGAAGGGAAAGTGTACTACGCTGCTAAATGCTCAATTCCTATTGGTAATTGCCACATCGCTTCGCTCCTTATTTGCATAAAGTTAACTCTGCTCAACTTCGCCATGTCGCCAACTTCGCCCAATTCGCGTCGCCAGCGGTGACGCTGCCTCCCGTCGCAGGAAATCGACAGCTCTCATTATAAATGAATGACCTTTGGCTGCTTTTTCACGTCGCATCGCTCCCGATGTAAATGTATGACTGAACTTTGGAGTTGTGGAAAAATATCCCTGCAGATTTCTTTGAGAAACTGAAAGTGAGTCTCCTGAAAAGAATGGAATCTGTAATAAACATAAAAAGTGGACACACTAAATACTGAAAAATCTATATTATATTGAGTGTTTAGATGTTGAGTAATTTTCTATTAAAACGTCCTGTAAAACCTGTACTTAATGGCCATTTTGACTGGAAATTAAAGGAAAGGTGGGTGTAGTAATAATAATAATTATTATTATTATTTGTAAAATGATTAATAATATTATGATTATTGATGTTTGTTTCTTAATTATTGTCAGTCAGCTCTACTTGTGGCTTCATTGTAGCCCAAAGCAAGTCAGAAACCACAACGAAACTATCACAGGTATAAATTGCACCGTGAAAGCCACTTTCAGCTGTCTGCCCATAGCTGGTGAATTGCCATCACCTTCACTTTTGTTGATATGGCGTCGTGATGAGGCGGTCTTTAAAAAAAAAAGAGGCTATTTTGAGGCCTGTTAAATTGGTGGGTTAATGTGGTCTGTGTGACAGGGCTGGTGGAAGATCAGTCGAAGGCGGAAAAGTCACTTTAATTGGACCCCGTGGGTGATGGAGGAAAATTCGCAGCTTTGGCTGCGTTTTAGCCCCATAACCCAGTTTCTCCAGCCAGCGGTATGACGAGTTTTCTGAAATGTTGGCTGGAGATCTGTGGCTGAAGCTGAGGTTCCTCGGGGAACGAGGGAAACTGACTCTAACGCTGCACTTTTGAAAGTAAGACGTTCAATTGGCCCATGTTGATGCAAAGTTATGTGTGTGTTTGTAGCTGGGCTTGGAGAGGAAGTGGCAGATGAATTCTTCCTGTACTGTGGAATGCCCAGTGAACTGCCAGCTCTCGGAGTGGTCAGCGTGGACAGAGTGCTCCCAGACCTGCGGCCTAGAAGGTGAGGACAAATGACTTTGTTTTAAGGAATAGATAACATATAGATTTACACATTGACACCAAATGAGAGTCAGTCAGCCAAGACCTGTTTGGTGCCCGAAATATGCTTCTTTAGTTTTACAGGTTAATGTAGCTAACAAGAAGAGATTACATGATACCACATTTTCTTTTCTGATTCCAAAACTGACCGATACTGATACAGATCTAATATTTCTTCTTTTAAAAATACTAAGCTTTAAAATTAGCTAATTTTAATTGAAGCATTTCATTTAACATAGGCATCTTGTAGGCGGTCATGCTCAAACTAATCGAACACACAGGAAGAAAGCTAAAAGCTAACAAACATCACACCACACAGTGTGACTGAGTGTTATTTCAGGATACATTTGTTACAGGAGTAGATCAGATTAATCTTTTTTCTTCCTCCCATATCCAATCCATCACTGTCTGCCGATATCACTGTCCCAACTCTATACAAGTTGCATGCCTAAATCCACCTATGTCTCAGAACTTATTTGACTCTATAAGCCTTTATCATTCAGATATAGACAATTACAGTGTATAATAAATCATGTGACCTTTTAAAACTTCTCATGGTGTTACACTTAACAGCCATTGGCTTATTCAAACCACTTAATCTGAAATTAAAGATAATAACAAAGCAATAACACTTACAAAGCAAGAGAAGTCTGTAAAACATAGGCAACACTTCCTGCCTACAGTTTTCACTGTCTGAAATATCGTTATGAAATGGAGGATAAAGAGCAACAAGATTTGGAAGACACAGGAAACTCTCTGATAGAACTGCTAGAGTGGTCATAATGCAAAGCAAAACCGCCACATTACTGCCAAAGACCTTAGGGAAGATTAGGCTCGCATGAGAATAGGCCCACCCTGGAGTGTTATTGGACAAATATTGCGTACATGGAAGGTTCATTAGATGGTAACCTTAACTGTGATCTCATCACAAAAGTCAATGTCTAAATATGCAAAACAACATCTAGTTAAGACATTAAGTTAAGACAGGCATTCTGAAATCAAATTAAGTGGTCTGATGAAAGAAAAATCAAACTCTTTAACTGCAATCACCAGAGATATGTTTGGAGAAAAAAAGAAGCAGCATTTGATGAAAAGAACACCTTGCCAACTGTAAAACCTAAGAGTGGATCTATTATGCTTATGGTTGTGTGGCAGCAAGTGGCACAGGAAGTGTTGAGGGGACAGAGGGAAGAAAGAATTCTACTAAATATCAAATCCTGGAAGCTAATATATAGCACTGTGAACAGACTTCACAAGACCCTGAGTTTTCGTTAGTCACCCAGAGTGAGAGCTACAGCATTCTGGGCGCCACCTTCACAAGGCAAAAGGAATGTTTTTGGTGAAGATGTGGCTTGCAGACTCGTTGGCATTAACAATTCTGTCCCTCTTGCATATACGAGGGAAGGAGGTGAAGCTGTTTGTCCTGTCTGTGCGGTGATATGGCTGAGCGGCGCAAAACAAAGGCTCAGAGCCGTCAGGAAGACGGAAGGAGCAGAGGATGAGTGTGCGCTTTTTAAGTGGGTGCGTTAATCCTGTGTATCGCTCTCTCCCTGACCGAGGAAAAGCAAGCATAATGAATACAAATGCGCCCAGGCAGAGAGGGAGACTGACAGGATGCTGGGGAGTTGGAAGGCAGCAGAGGAGATGAAGGGAGAGAAAGGGAGAGAGATAGAGAGAGGGAGAGAGCCAGGCAGACATAGAAAGAAACAGTAAGAGAATCTATTGTGCGGAGTGCGAATGCTGGTAGGACGTACCTTATCTAACTCCGCCTCGCCTGAGAAGTGTGTTTCTGGAGATATGCTAGTGTGTGGAGGCTCTGCATTGTGTCTCTGGTGGCAACACATCTGCAACTTGGATGTATTAACGCTATAAGACGCAAATCCTCCTGCAGGATCACAGCTATTAATGTTTTACTTTGTAAAGTAGTAGTTTGGTGAAAAACCTAATGTGCTCAGTTTGCCGCTTACCCAAAATGTAGTGCGTCAGTCAAGACCTGTTTGGTATCCGAAGTTGGTCATCACTATGCACCCAGGCCCCCATGTTCCCAGGGTCCTACAGTTGTATGCAAAAGGTTTGGCACCCCTGCCAAATGACACATTCTGTCAACTTTTTTAAGGCAAAATAAGTTCAAAGTTCAAGTTTTTTTTTTAATACATTTTTTCTGCAAATGTTAATGCACAACTACTTTCTATTTGATTAACTTAAAAAATAGAAGAAATTGATATAGTTATTGTGGCATGTGCAAAATTTTGGACATCTTACTAAGTCAGTACTTAATAACACACCCTTTGACAGATATTATAGCTTTCAAACACTGTAGCCAGCTCGGAGTCTTTTTTTCTCGTTTTAGAAATTTTCACCCACTCGTCTTTGCAGTATCTGCAGTATTTTCGGTCCATCTTGTCTGCACAGCATGTTTAATCTTTAAGACCTACTGACAGATTTTCAGTAATGTTTAAGTCAGGGTCATACTAAAAGCTTCAGCTTGCATTTCTTGAAGTTGTTCTTGGTGGATTTTGAGGTGTGTTTTGGATTGTGCTGTTGTAGAAGCTAGCCTCTTTTGAGCTTCAGTTTTTTCACTGTCACATTTGCTTCCAGAATTTGCTGATATGTAGTGGAATCTATTCTTCTATCTAGTGGTGCAGTAGTTCCTGCCGCAAAACCCCAAAACATAATAGATGCGCCCGCATGACCACAGTTGGCAAGGTGTACCTTTCATCAAATACTGATAAATACTGCTCCTCTTTTCCACCAGACATACCTTTTCCTAACCGATGTTGAAAACGTGAGAGACCCCACACATAATGATATTTTTCATGGATTTTTCTGTCCTTGATTGTTGTCATCAAAGTCTCCACACTACCTTATGTGCCCTCAATCAAACACCACACGCCTTCAGATTATGCCATCCAGACCAAAGGTTCCAATTCATAAAACCTTGCAGGAGTTTCTTGCAAACTAACATGACTTTAGATCTAAATAAACATGGTGGATAACAGCAAAGCTGTTGCTATGCTGGTGGTGTGTGCTTTCTGCAGAGAAAAAGCCAAGTGGAAGAAAAAAATTGTGGATGACACCATGGCTGAAAAGAAAGGGTCAACAAGGCTTATACACACTGCAAAGTGAGTATAAGGTGAATACATACATAGGCTATACTTATATACACACACAAGGTGAGTAGTACTCGGTTTGGCCACCTTGCTTACAACTTCTTCTGTACACACTGACAAGTTCAGTTCAGCTCTCATTGGTTGACTGTTTCTGGCATGACATTAACACCATGTTTCACAGCAGGAAATCGGCGTCCACCCCACACTACAGGATACTGAGTTATTATCCAGATTATCCTCTGGTGTGGGGTGTCTATAATCCACTCTAACTCCACCAACCTACTCCTAGCGCATTCGGGGCCACCCCAATCGTGAATCATAAGTATTAAACAGGTTCAGTATTTGTTTACAATCAGGGTGGCCCTGACTGCACTGGAAGTAGGTAAGCAGAGTAAAGGTTGGATTATAGACACCCCTGCACCACAGGACAATCTGTGGAGATCATTGTTATTCATCACCCTGATATCAGATGACCTTTTGCGATTGTCAGGAGGAGCAAATCAGCCTCAAAATCAGCCTGATTATCCTGTAGTGTGGGCCAGAAGCAAGGCTTCCTTCTGATGACTCTTCCATCCTGATCATGTTTGTCCACGCAACACTGCACAGTAGAGCAGTGCACCACCACAACTGCTAGCTAAACTTCCTACAGATCCATTGCTGGGTTTTGCTTTGTCTCTCTGGCCAGAATACAAGCAGTTGTATCTGAGTTTTCTTGCTCTCTCAGGTCTTGCCCCGACTTCCACACTTTTCCTAATTGCATTTCTTAATGGCATTCCAGACAGTGGAAATTGTGAGCTGGAAACAAATGATATCTTGTTACAGCCTTGCCCCTGCTTTGTAGGCATCAGTAGCTTAATTTTCAGGTCACTGCTGTGCTGAGAATGATCCACTACCCAAATAATATCTGGTCAGTGGTGGTTCTGTGAACAGGATAGAGAGTGGCTAAGTTATTGCATGAAAACAAATAGGGTACAGTTAGTCATTGTAAACCTACTGTACTTTGAGATTGACAGCATATTTACAGAAGAACAAATATGCAGTACAGCCTTAGGTGCATGTGGACGAGTATATGCAAGTTCTGAAGTGGGGGGTAGTAGAATAGTTCAGAATGGAGGACCATGGCTGGAATATTGCAGTACAAAAGTGACAGTATTCATGACTGGAATGTTGCAGTATAAAGTGACATGTGCGGTCAGTGTAGAGTGACCATACAGCAGTAGTCAGTAGCAGATGCTGTCAGTCAGGTAGTGTAGCAGCTCCACATTCTATCTAATTCTGTGTAAAGTGAACAATGTGTAAAAGTATATTATACCATACCATATTATGTGAAATACGGTTCTATGCTACACTATGCATATTATTCCTACTGTACTTTACATAATATAAAGTGAATAATGTGCAATATTAACTTGTAGTTGAAATGCAGTTAGTGAGAAAGTGCTCAGAGCTGCCACTGGTCAGTAGAGTTTATTGTGAAGATCCTGAAGTCTGTTTAGGAAGGATTATTGTTCTGGGAAAGAACCTGTTCCTCGGTCTGGCAGTACGGACACTAATGCACCTGTGTCGACATCCAGAAGGCAGTGAAGTAAAGAGCTGGTTGCAGGGGTGTGTTGGGTCACTGCAGAAGGTGGTGGCTCTGCGGAGGCGTCGGGAATTGTAGAGCTCCTGAAGAGATGGTAGCTGGGCTCCGATGACTCTGGGCACTGTTGATGACCCGCTGCAGGATGTGCCTCTCTGCATTGGTGCAGCTGGTGTGCAAAGCTGAAATGCAGTAAGTGAGAATGCTTTCAGTACTGCAGCGGTAGAAGGTGACGAGCAGATCTCTGTTGAGATTTACTTTCCTGAGTGATCTCAGAAATAGAGTCGCTGTTGTGCCTTCTTTACCAGTGCTGTGGTGTTGACAGAGCAGGATGAGTCCTCAGTAGTGGTAGTTGGCCCTCAGTGCACTCACAACGTATGATTTTCGTAATGTTAATGTAAATGTAGATCACTGCCTGAATTTCCAGAGTAATACAAGGTGTGGAGTCCGTAATTGAAATGCTGCTGATTCTACATGTACGTATAATGTGATGAAAAAGAAGCACATTGCGCTGAAAAAAGATAACGTGTTCATAGGCAGTAAACATGGACAATTTTTCTTTTTCGCACAGTTCCCTTAATTATCTGCAGAGCTGTTACGTATTTAGCTGCAAGAAACGCTGTCTCATCTCCCTTTCTCGGTACACCAGCGGCTTTTCAACATCCCAATTCCCCGTCTCTCACGCGCACACACAAAACCTGATGGGAGAAGATACAAAAATAGAGAACTGCTCTCGCTTAGCTGTGAGAGATTTATTGTAATCTCCAAGCTACCCTGAACTGTTCTACGTATTTCCATCTCCACATAATTCCATTATATAACATTACATAAGCATATATAACTAGAAAGGGAAAGTTTGTGAACGAACTTTAAATTGCCTTGTTAAAGCCAGATAATAATGCTTTCAGCTGGAGAACCTTGTTGATTGATTTTTAATAACTGCTTTATCTAATAATGTTTATGTAGTAAATAGTATAGTCAATTCCAGGAAGAAGTGGTATTCCAGCTTGTTGTTAGGGCGTTGCTTGGTGGCTAAGTTAGATGGTTGCTAAGTTGTTGCTAGACCGCTGCTATGCATGGTCATGCTTGTTGACCAGCGAACCAGCATTAAAAACACAACATATACCTGGCACTTTATTAGGAACACCTCCTTGTTTCTACACTTACTGTCCATTTTATCAGCTCCACTTACTATATAGGTGCACTTTGTAGTTCTACAGTTACAGACTGTAGTCCATCTGTTTCTCTGATACTTTGTTAGCCCCCTTTTTCTCTGTTCTTCAGTGGTCAGGACCCCCACAAGACCACCACACAGCAGGTACTATTTGAGTGGTGGATCATTCTCAGCACTGCAGTAACACTGACGTGGTGGTGGTGAGGTGTTAAGTGTGTGCTGCGCTGGTCTGAGTGGATCAGGCACAGCAGTGCTGCTGGAGTTTTTAAACACTGTGTCCACCCACTGTCCACTCTATTAGACACTCCTACCTTGTTGATCCACCTCGTAGATGTAAAGTTAGAGACGATAGCTCATCTGCTGCTGCACAGTTTGTGTTGGTCATCCTCTAGTCCTTCATCAGTGGTCACATGACTCTGTTGGCTGGATATTTTGGTTGGTGGACTATTCTCAGTCCAGCAGTGACGCTGAGGTGTTTAAAAACTCCAGTAGCACTGCTGTGTCTGATCCACTCAGACCAGCGCAACACACACTAACACACCACCACCACATCAGTGTTACTGCAGTGCTGAGAATGATCCACCACCCAAACAAAACCTCCTGACCACTAAAGAACAGGGTAAAAGGGGGATAACAATGTATGCAGAGAAACAGATGGACTACAGTCTGTAATTGTAGAACTACGGAGTGCACTTATATTGTAAGTGGAGCTGATAAAATGGACAATGAGTGCAGATATAAGGAGGCGTTCCTAATAAAGTGCTTGGTGAGTGTATAAAAACCCAGAGGACACGTAAATCAAATGGTTATAATAGAGTTGTAGGCATCACAACTCCTGTTTCCTTTATGTCACAACAAATTTCCCTTTAAGCTCTCCCAAGATCTTAGTCTTGATGTAGCTCTTTCAGGATTAACTGTTCTTTTAACTGGCTCAGCCAACACAAAACACTCCTACAGGATTTAAACCAAAGCCAGAATGCTGAAAGGAAATCACCACCAACACATGCAGCATTTTCTGTTTCTGTCAGCAAAGCATATTAAACAGAAATCACCACGCATACTTAACCAGATGGTTGAGAAAGCTTTGGAGGCAGCATTTTACCAAAAGCGCAGAACATGACCCGTTACATCATCTGTGTGCAGGCAGGCATATGTGCCCAGATGTTCCACTCACGTTTGTTTATATAGAGCTATATTGTCCCAAAACAACTTTGCAGAAGGATCTAGTGACCTAAAGCATTGTCCTTTTGGCCAAATTGACTCAGTGGTCTGTGTTTGTTCATTGAGGTGTGCACTGCTTACTAAACAGAACTCCTGTTCACTGCGTTGTTTTCCTGAGACCTCCCCCTGACTGTGATTGGTTCTAATCACCACATTGTTTGTTCTGAGACCTCCCCTTCACTGTGATTGGTCCTAATCACTGTCTTGCTGTTCTGAGACCTCCCACAGACTGTGATTGGTCCTAATCATCATGTTGTATTGCTCTTTGTCACCACATTGTTTGTTCTGAAACCTCCCCTTCACTGTGATTGGTCCTAATCACCACATTGTTTGTTCTGAGACATCCCCTTCACTGTGATTGGTCCTAATCACCACATTGTTTGTTCTGAGACCTCCCTCTGACTGTGATTGGTTCTAATCACTGTCTTGCTGTTCTGAGACCTCCCTCTGACTGCGATTGGTCCTAGTCACTGGCTTGCTGTTGTGAGACCTCCCCCTGACTGTGATTGGTCATAATCACCATGTTGTATTGCTCCTTGTCACCACATTGTTTGTTCTGAAACCTCCCCTTCACTGTGATTGGTCCTAATCACCATATCATTTGTTCTGAGACCTCCTCCTGACTGTGATTGGTTCTAATCACCACAATGTTTGTTCTGAGACCTCCCCCTAACTGTGATTGGCCCTAATTACTACATAATTTGTTCTGAGACCTCCCACAGACTGTGATTGGTCCTAATCACCGTCTTGCTGTTCTGAGACCTCCCCCTGACTGTGATTGGCCCTAATTACTTCAAATTTGTTCTGAGACCTCCCACAGACTGTGATTGGTCCTAATCACCATGTTGTATTGCTCCTAGTCACCACATTGTTTGTTCTGAGACCTCCCCTTCACTGTAATTGGTCTTAATCACCACATTGTTTGTTCTGAAACCTCCTCCTGACTGTGATTGAGACACTTAGGCCTGGGCACGTTCAATCCAAAACACTGTGTAATGTTTTGCTACCATTTCCAGACTGAACATCATGCTTCATCGAATTTGTGTGAAGGTATGTTTTCTCTCATTTGATGAGTGCGTTGCCCAGTCAGCAGTGACGTGTATATAAACCCTGCTGTACCAAAAACGCAGTGCACACAATGGGTTCTAATAAAGTCCTCTGGTGTTCACAACAAATGAAGACGTTAGAAGACACGTGTCGTAAGAATGGCCTTCTCAACAGCCATAGTTGGAACACTTGCGTAACACAACAGAGTGTTCAGCGCATCTCCACTTATGTCTAAATAAATGTTTTGCTACATTTTGTTGGGGCTGAATGCAGCCCTGGTTTTAAATGTGGAGAAAATTTCACACATAACTGCTACCGGTAGTTAACCAGGCATTAGTAAGTGGAACCTCCCATTTAAATGTCATCAGCCATTTAAATGTCATCAGCCACATTTTCAGTACCTCTGTCCACTTTTTGCACAATCCTTCCATGTTTTGTGATGGAAGTAACTGTGATTATTACAGCTAAGTCTTCAGTTCAGGACATAAGTATCAAAACAGTAATGCTAACATCTGCTATACCTATGGGATTCTAGTAGTACGTTTGCGCTAAGCTAACCGTGATTCACATTTTGCGACATTGCATCAAGTTGTCAACCTTCATCCAGGAGTACCCCTGCAGTGCAGTCTTTTGGTGTTTTTCCTGTTCTAACTCTCCTGATGCAACTCTTCAGCTCATTAACAAGTGCTTCCTCAACCGACTTGGGAATGTTAGAGCAAGAAAACACTAAAATACGCAGGACGGGTGTTCCAGAAGCAGGGCTAGGAACCTGTGGCGTATGTAGTTGTTAGTATGCACTATATGTGGGAAGGTCATACCAATAAGAGTCCGTGGGTATTACTCTGGATAAGGGCATCAGCCAAATGCCACAAATGCACATATAAACAGGACAAATTTGCCACTGAGATTAACAGTACTGTGTGCTGCTGTAGGGAGGATGTCTCGCAGGCGGTCAGTGGTGCAGGCATCTCGGGGTGATGGCCGACCATGTCCAGTTCAGATGGAACAGTGGAAGCCCTGTCCGGTCCGGCCCTGCTACCGCTGGAATTACAGCCAGTGGTCTGAGTGCAGAGTAGAGGTACAAACACAATTCTACATAACCCTTTTTTCTTTTACTTCTTTTTATCTCACTCTCTTCCTCAGTTCATCACTGTTCATCTCTCAGTTCTTCTCTCAGCTTGCTCTCTCTTCTCTCTCTCTCTCTCTGATGAATTTATGTGTTTTGGTGTGAATTCTGTCTGAGCCTGCACTTCTGCTGATGAAGAGCGGCTCCAACAAATCTGTCTGAGCCCAGCGGAACAAATGAACAGAAAAGGGCTCAGACGTTTGCATCTCAAACAAGGAACGCAGAAAGAAGAACACTTTTCCGTTCATGCTTCTCCCACACTGATGATGAGCCCATGTTTTGATCTGCAGGTTCTGTCTGCTTAATCAGTGACTCTCATCCCATTCTTTACTGACTGTGTGGGTTTGTTTTCATACATTTTTGTACAAATTCCCTGACTCTGTAGCAAAATCGTTGAAAAACAGGGCTAATTTTACAATGGTAGGAGCTCCCGGTCCTGTCGAGATATACAAACAAGTCTGTTTGTGTGTTGTAGGACGTGGTGTGTGGTGAAGGCCGGCGCTTTAGGAATCTGTCCTGTTTCGTGTCGGATGGCTCCAGAGATGTTCCAGGCAGTCTGGTGGAGGAGGAGCTGTGTGCTGGACTGGAACCTGCCGTGGACGGAGATAAAAACATTATTCTGGAAGAGGCCTGTACTTTACCATGTCCAGGTATGACTAATTCATCCTACACAGCACATCATAATGTAATAAGCAGCAGTTTATATGCATTTACAGATATGTTTTGGGAGGGTTTTCCAGACCCAGATTAAGCTTAACCCTAGACCAAAAAGGCTTTTCTGTTGTAAATAACCATTTAGTAGAAGTACAAGGTAGGAGTTTCTAATAAAGTGGCCAATAACATAAATGACAGTTTACCACTGAAAAAAACAATGGGTGGCCACCTATTTTGTACGTCCACTCACTGGCCACTAATTATATATATATAATTAGCCAGGGTAAAGCTGATTTGTGGTCATTATTGTCCATCCCTGCACTCCTCCAGGTGACTGCTATCTGATGGAATGGTCGGACTGGAGCCCATGCCAGAGTGTGTGTGTGAAGGGTCAGCGGCTGGACTTTAGCGCAGTGCAGGTCCGCTCCCGCGCTGTTGTTGCTCAGGAACCTGAAAACATCGCCCAGTGTCCTGAACAGGAGTGGCAGTCCCGCCCCTGTCCTGGTTAGAGACTCACTTCATACATTGCCTTACATCAAATGCAGTAAGATTTAAAAACATACATTACCTTATGATCATATTATCATCATGCAAACTGCCAAATAATCTCTGCCAATTCATAGAATCGGTAGATTTTGATGAGTGATTTTTCTGATTAAGTAATTGATTTTAATTGAGTTATAGATACAGTCAAGTGGACAGCCCCTTCAGGCACTGGTAGTGCACACTAGCCCACTAGACTAAATTTATAATGCACATCAGACATCAGTGGGCTTAACCATGAGGTCTCTAAAGACAAAACTGATCCAAGATTAGCGTCCTAACAGTGGCAGCTCTAATAAACGTGGCCTATTGTTTCTCTCTGAGAGCTTATTCATTAAATATTACTGGCACTGTAGATTCTTATAGCCACATGCACAAAATATTAGGGACATGTGGTTTTATGGCAGTGTGATCACTCAAAGCCCATTTACTGTGACGCACCACTTATGTGTCCTTGGTTTCTTGTCTCTGCAGACGGCGAGTGCTTTGAGTATAAATGGGTGAGCACTACTCGTCTGGTCTGGTGTGAGCGCTCAGACGGAACAAACGTCACAGGTACAGCACTGCACTACATCTGTGGAATCCAGGTCAATGATGGAAATGACTCAAAATGCCTCATACTCACATACAGGACCGGTCAAAATTCTGGACATGAATGCATGTGTTAATTAAAAGGCTACTGCTTGATTTCTTTCCTAGACAATTATAAATGTAAAATATAAAGCAGTGAAAATAAATACTATAAGACCTTAGTAGGTGTGTCCAAACGTAGCTCAGGCTATGGTCACATCACAGATATTGTTGTTCAACTTTCTCGATCTACTTTGATGGCTCACATTTAGCCTAATTGGGGGTAAAGTAGAATAAAGTATAGTGCTACAGTTTAAATTATTGTAATCAAGGCTGTACAATACTGACATAAAATTCAATGATGTCTCTCTGGCGTTTCCTAAGTGTGGTAGTTTGATCTGTCATCACGGCTCTTAACGATGTGTTTATTGTGGCATCTCACAAATACAATTTGGAGTACAGCCCTAATTTTAATTTAAACACGTTTTGTTTCTTTTGTTTAGCGCTGAAGCTGCAAGGCTAACATTGCTATCACTAGAAATCAATAGTCACCCAAAATCTTTTCTGTAAATTCATCTACAAAACTTCTTTCAACTGACTCAAACCGCATCCCGGTCTTTATCAAGGTTGAGCAGATAAATCGATGGAGTTTAGAGCACATTATGACTTACTGTGAGCTATAAAAATGTACATAACTTTGCTGCGTAGCTGATTACGTTCAAAATATCAGCTGTTTTCATTTAGAAGCATTCACTTTAAAAATTCAAGACAATAAATAGTTATTTATAAAAAAAAGAAATCCCAGAAATCCCTAATACAATCCGCGAGCCCATATGCCTGCATGAAGAAAGGGAAGTTAGGATTTCGTACAACACGTAAGTTATAAATCATGTATAAATAGTGTCCTCAACCACATCAACAAGTCTGTGCAACCGTAATGATGACATGGATGCGGACTGAGCGAAGTGAGAGACTGTATTTAAAGAAAAGATTTGGGTGACTATTGACTTCTAGTGTTTGTTAGCAACATTTGCCTCTTAGCTCCAGTGTAAAACTAAAGCATAACTGGCTATGACTTGTTAACAGCTTAGGCAAGGTTAGTGACACGTCTTTGAAATGTGTTTGGTGTGGCTCTTTCATCTTAAATAAAGTTGTGAAAGGACTACTAGTTTAATTCCCTGTACTTTCCAGATTTGTACAGGTTTTAAAGAGCACCATAGAAGTAAAGAGCAGTGAAGCTACTTTTCCAGGGAGTAATTAAAAAAGTAATCCCATTACATTGTGAGAGAAGTAAATAGTAATTTGCAGTGTTACATTCTTTGAGTAACAATCTAACAGTAAGTGTGTTACTGTCCTAAATGTGAACACACATCTGTCATGAAAGGATGCAAATGCTCACATTTAATCAAGTTAAAGCCACTGCTGACCCGCTGCCCACAGTGGATGATAATCACAGTGACAGGCACAGTTTAAGTTTATTCCCTGTAGAGGATTATTTTCACTTAGAAAATCAACCAAAAATATAATTTGACTAGGGGTGTTCAAACTTTTGCGTAAGAAAATAGTGTGTATATATACACACAATACACAAACAGGGCTGCAAATACATTTTAATTTTGGCAGAGTTGAAGTGTGACGATGAGGAAATGCGATTGCAAATGGGTAATTGTTTTTCTCTTTTTAATATGTCAGTGTCAGAGCACAAAGACAATGAAAATAAAATGTCAAAAAGACTTTTCTTTTCCATTTTAACTTTTTTTTCCAGCCATTATACACAGAAAATACGTTTTACATTTAAATTTATATTAAATATTAAATAAGACACGCTCATATAGGAAATGCAGTTGTAAATACACAATTAAATTAGCATTTTCATACATATATATCATCAAAAAATCATCATATTTGTACCACAGTAATTACAGTAACTCTGTAATTTAATCTGATATACACTGGTTTCAACTTTAGAACTTCATGATTGTTTATTTTATGCCTGCATTTTGTGCTCTAGGAGGCTGCCCCCCCACAAGCCTGCCTGGAGTGGAAGGGTCATGTGACCCACCTTGTGACAAGCCACGTTCATTCTGCTCTGAGGTAGGACAGAAGAGGATTGTGGGGATTACTGCAGTGTGTAGTGTTCAGACAGCACCTCAGTGACATGGACCAGTTGTTACCAACAGCACTTATTGTAATGGAAGCAGTAACAAGATCAGAGTCCCTCTTGGGACGTCGGAAGAGTCTGTGCTTTTCCAAAAACAGTGCAAGAGGCTTTTCTGATTTAGCTTGTAAATGAGAGCAAGAGGAACACAGACAGAGTATTGTCATGTTTTAGCAAGTGCAGTTTTGTGGTACGTTTACAGGGCTAAGATCTGGCCTCTTAAGCTGTTGTCACTCTAGTCTTCCATCTACGCTGGGGTGGGGCAAAAATCAGACGATCATGGGTGGTCTTGGTGCAATCTGATTTTGGAGGGAACTTAGTAGTTCAGTAAATAGCTAACAAACTAGCTAGGTAGTTTGTAGTTACTGAGTATTACATTTTTAATACTATTTTTTCTCCCTCGTTTTAACACATATTTAACAAAACAAGACTCGAAATGTGTTAAAATAGAACTTAAAGTGTGTTGATAGTGAACAAATCATTTTAAGAGTATATCTGTACAGAAAACAGTTCCACTGTCAGCCTTTAAAACCATGAATCATGCAGACTGGTGCTTTAGCGTGTGCCTCTGCTGCCCCCTGCAGGAAGGCCTGTGTATGTGTGAGGAGGGCTACACTGAGGTAGTGTCTCCGGAGGGCCTGCTGGAACAGTGTGCTGAGATTCCCGTGCTGGAGATCCCCACAGCAGGAGACAGGAACGCTGACGTAAAGACCAGCCGTGCTGTGGACCCCACCGCCCCAACCACAGAGCAGCCAGGAAGGCCTGGACGCACCTGGTACCTTCAGCCCTTCGGACCTGGTAACGCAGCTTCAAAATCAGCCATATGGCCTAATATTAGTGTTTGTATTATTCTAATATCCACTGTAGAGATGCACTGCAGCACAACCCAAAGTGTAGCTTTTAGGCCAGTGTTGGACCATTAAGATGTTTTATTTGGTCCAAAATTTTTTTTTTTCTATGCTATATGTAACTTTTCCTTTAAAGTAATTTTAGTAGTTTTTAATAAAATATTTTGTAATGTTTTAAAATACATTTTTAAAAACTCATTTTGAAAATTGCCTACTTTTTTATTTTTTTATACTGTTTTTGGCCCTCAACCTTCCAAGACAAAAAGTTTGGGCACCCGTGAATTTGACCTTTTTCTAATCTAAATAATGTTAAAGTCTCAGTTTTGTAATTAGTAATATCTATTCGAATTGATAAACTTGCATCACACACCTAATAACTGAAGTAGTGGCTGAATATTTCTCTGTCCATTTTTATAGACAACAGTATGTCTTACAGTATCAGAAATCACATAAGCAAGTCTATTAAAGATAACTTAACAACTTGAAGTGGTTTGAGGTAAATATGTGATGATTTAGGACAGTGCTAATTGGTGGAGTATACACTTCAATTAGCTTTGTAGCTGTGGCCCAAAACTAAGGCAAACTTCAGACGTCAAACGTCTAGATTGGTCGCCTTTTCATTTATGGTACAAAGGAAAATTGTGTCATTTTGACTTTTCAGTTTGGTGATGAGGGGAATTTCACCAGATTCTCCACACATTTCCACTTAATCTTTTATGTGAAGAGGCGATCAGGGTGGTTTGATGTGACATGGTTTATTGTACTAACTTTATCAACTCTTTAAAACTTCTTTACAGTGGTGGTGTTAGGAACACAAATATAGTCATTTTATTTACTATCCAGAACCATGGGTGAACCTACACGTTTTCTGGGTTTTATTTGTAGTGCTGATGATGAAATAGTTTTTTTTAGGGGTTTTCTGTACAACACCCTGCAAGTATTTCTGCTCCATGAATGGATTAAAAATTTTACATTTTAGGCCAAACTTTCTCAAAACTATGTCTTTTGTGAACTAACTGTCTGACTATTTCATGTAATAACTTTCTTTGAGGGAGGTTTTAGAGACATTAAACTTTTCAGATGTCTGGTTCCTATCACCACTGTTATGATGAACAATTCTGCTTCAGTAGAGTTGTTTCGCATCAAACCTCTCTGAATGACTTCTTAACCACTTAATTTAACATAAATTCTGTTGAATTCGCCTTTAAGATCACTGTAGATGGACAAAACAGAGGTTTTAAAACAGCTTCAGCACTGGCACTTTTCCCTGACAGTGTCCTACAGTAGATTAACTAGTATACTTTTTGCAAAATGGTCTGTGGCTGAAACGACTGAACATATTGTCACTATCCAAAAAATATATTTTTTTTCTGTATCATTTGAACACGGCGGATGTCCTTTACATTGTGAGAAAATTTCATGATGAATGGATGAATAGAAATTCTCCAAAATCGCTTGGAATGAAATGTTTTACATTAATGTTGTACATTAACTTACATTAAATGTTAAGAATGTTTTTGCCTTCTCCCGTTAAGTTACTGCTTTGGAGATACATCTTTATCTTTGGACAGTGATGATATGCACTAATAGTTGAGAGTACTTTTAAGCTAATATCAGCCATAGCAACACTCAGGCATTCACTGAATTATGCATTATGCATGTCTGTTTTTCTAAGCGTGGCTATTTTGAGGGAAATGAACAAAATAAATGTACAAAACAAGGTTATGATAATCACAATGAACACAATTGACCGTGTCGTCCGCAAATTAAAGAGAGAGCGTTTTCCTGTAAGGGCTCTGCAGTATTTAATCAGGTCAGGGATCTCCAGCAAAGACACTTTTTTTCTGTCTATCCTCAGATGGCAAACTGAAGACGTGGGTGTACGGCGTAGCTGCAGGCGTGTTTGTGCTTCTGGTCTTTATAGTGTCTATGATCTACTTAGCATGGTAAGAGCATGCTGTGTCCAACATCATCATCAACATCATTATCCTTATCCAGAAGGGGTGTAACTGTCTGACAGTTTATTATATTATTAGAATCAATTATAATTTAATTAAAATTCCAAAATTGAACTCTGAATCAATGCATTCATTAAGGGTGTAACAATCTTGATACAGTATCAAAAAACAGACAATTAAGGTTTAAAAATATATCGCCATTTAAAACAGTATCGCTTCTTCTTCTGAAACCAGAAAATCTGAAAAATTTGTTTTTTTTTGTATTTCAGTTCTGGGGGACATACTTATACATACTTACATCAAAAGTATGAACACCCCAGTCAAATTACTTGTTTTGTAAACTAGTTAATACATCCTCTACAGAAAACACATTTAAATACATTTTTCTGCTAATTTTAGTGCACAAATTCTATTTATTTGTTGAGTTTAACATAATGAAAAATAAAACATAAAATATAAAATGTGCCATAACTTTTTGCACGTTATGGCCTTATGTTTTCTTCCTGTATGGTTTTGTTAAATTCAGCAAATAAAAAGTGAATGTGCATTAAAATGTGCATTAAAAAGTTACACAAATCTTGTCTGTTAAAAATCACATTGAACCTGAAAATGTTACACCCCTGCTAATCATTACCTTTATCGTCAATCATAATCATAATCATCACTCATCATTTTCTTTTTTTCATTTTTCCACTCACACTCGCTTGTCGATTTCCGGGTGTCCCTCACCTCCACCTGCATGAGCAGCAGTTACTGTTCTATGCGTCGCTCTCTGGAGACGCCTGACTCCGCCCACTGCGCTGTAGTGTGGATGGGCCCAGACGCCCACGAGCTCACCTACACCTGCCCCGAGTGCCAGCAGTCTGAATGCAGTGCCAGTTAAGGGTCACTCGTCTGACCTCCTGACCTTTGACCCCAGTGCCCTGCCCCCTGTGCCTGAGCCCGTGTGCCTCCTGCTCTGCCTGGCCGCTACTGGAGCAGGTGATGCCTGCAGAGATCCACTACAGGCCCTAAGGATGAACGATACTGTCAGTACAATGTCAATATCAGCAGATATTTGCCTAAATTCCCAAATTCAGCAATTAGTTCAGTATTGCAGTTTGCCAGGTTTTTAGGGCAGAAATGATGTTGCATTAATTAGGCTACGATCCAGAAGAGCAGATATTATTTTGGTTGTTTACAGAAATTTTTAGCCCTACATAAATCTGTCAGTCTCATTTCTTATTTTTACCTCTACCCCTTAATTTAGAGTGTCATCTTGCCCCTTGAAACTGAGTTAAAAAGGGTGTTGGTTGAAATCTTCCTCTACGAAATGGGACAACCCTCAAATTAACAGACTACTAGTGCTGCTCTGTAGGCGACCCTGCCAGTCTGCAGTGACAGCAGAGGAGGATAAAGTTCAGCAACCTCACTGCTGGGCTTTAGTTACATATAGGGGATCATATACCTTCAAGGGGGGGGTAAGGGCTCAGTGTTGGGGGCAAGGTGTGAAATGGGATTGGGCCTAAATATCTAAATGAATAGTAAAATAGCAAATAACTGCATTTTATTAATTTTACTGATGAGTGATGAGTGACTCTACAAATGATGAGTCACTCTACAAGTCAATTTTATGTTTTTCTGTAATGCTAATCTTAAGTTTTATATTTTGTAAATGTTTATGTATCTGGAATGGCAGATACTGTACTGTGCAAAAGTCCACCCTTCATTATTTTTTTATTTCAAGTCAAAACGGCTATTATGTACAAGTTTTCAGCATTAGGAAAAAAAGCAGGAACATACATATTTAACAGAAAATTAATATTTTTTTCAGTATTAAGTGAAAAATATTACACCTTTCATTCTGTTCAGGAGCCTTGCTTTCAGTTTTTCAAAGAAACCTGCCAGTATTATTTTTCCACACCTCTAACGCTCGGTCTTAGAAGTTGGTTACATTTTCCACAATCCAAGTAATTGACTCATCAGTCCATAAAACCCTACTCCATATCTACAATGTCCAGTTTCAGTGTTTTAATGCTAATGTTCTTCTTTGGTAAAAAGGCTGTTTAAAGCGTTTTCAAAAGTCATTCTCAACGTGCTGATAAATGTTTGTGCTACTGAATTTTTTAGCCTGTTAACATCTGAGCTACCACCTAAAAAATTAAACCCACAGCTGTAAGTTCATTTCAGCCAAAGTTCTTTTTCCCCCCTGTAGTTAACTGAATATCTGTTTAGTAACACTTCAGGATGCTCCATTTCAAAATTCGGAAAAATGCACATACCTACATACAGTTATATGCAGTTATTTAGGCACCTGGTCAAATTACATGAGAAAATAAGTAGACATCCTCTACAGAAAACGTACCTTTACACTTGTAAATGCACAATTACTTGCACAATTGAACATATTTTGGGGTAAAAAGGTCAATATGTCCTGTGAAGATGATGGCACATTTTGTGTTGTTTTCCCAAATGTTAAACTTAGCAAATAAGCAGAAATTGTGCACTAAAATTTATGGAAATAATCCATATTTAAGAGGTTGTGTTATTTTCAATTAAACATGGCACTGAAACTTTTGCATACGACTGTACAAATCCTAGATGAACTCTGTTTTCATTAGAAAACCCAACCCACATGCCACAGAATATCATGATTATAAAATACAATACATAAGTAAGATGTAGTTATACTATCTGTTATTTCACTTATCCATCCTCGTTTTTTGTTTGTCCATTTTGCTCACAACATATCCCATCATTTAATCTAGCCAAAGGATATTGTGTGCAAATTATTTCAGTGTGAAATAACTTTTTCTTCTTCTTCTTTTTCTTCAGCAAAAAGCCAAAGAAACCACAGCGAAGACAAAACAATAACAACAGGCTGAAGCCCCTGACTCTGGCCTATGACGGCGATGCTGACATGTAGGCCAGCTCGGGCAGAAAACGCCATACAAACACACTTCACCCACATCATAAACACACACACGTTCATGCTCGGTCACATCAGCAATGCCTAACGTTTCATCTCAAATACAGAACCCTCATCCGCCTGAACAGCTGAACCTACATTTTCTTTTACAGCAGAGCCTTCAAAACTCCCACACACAACGGGAGGACGCCTTTTTATGTTATTCGTACTTTATTTTCAAAGTTGGCTGAAAAGGTCCTTCCCCTCCGGCCTGATCAGCACAGTGATGGTGTTTTTCCCATTTTTCCTGCTGTTCTCTGGAGTTTTTTGGGGTTTTTTTGGAGGCCAGAGGAATAAATACAAAAGCCAAAACATTACAAAAAAAAGAAGATGCAAAAGTAAAAAAAAAAATCAGTGAATGAACTTAATGTGTTGCAGATCTAACAGACTTCTGACTTTTTCTTTTGCGACCTCCTGGGCAGCAGCCTTTCTATGGAAGGTGAAAAACGTAGAGGAACACAATCGCTCTCCTGGAAGTACTGCCTCTTCTCTTCTCTTCGTTCCAGGCACTATTGCACTATATTAGTGCAGCATGATATGCACTTAAGTCAGGGTTTGCCACTGAACTTCGGCAGGTTGTAATAAAAAAAAGGAAACAATGGAAGAGAAAAAAAGAAGTGAAGGTATTTGTCAGTAAATGTCACATGAGGGCACGGATGGGACTTTCTTTTAGAGCCGAAGATTCATTTCATTTGCTTGACATCTTTTTTTCTCTGTTCGTTTTCATTCACTTGTGCATTGTATAGGTTGTCTGATGTGTCTTTTTCTGCTCATCACAGTTTGGACATGTAGTTGCTACTACACTCTTAAATATAAAGGTTCCTAATTGGTTCTTGGTCTGGACGTATCGGGGCAGATCTAATAACGTTTTTAGCATGTTGGATTTAAAAAATGGCTGTTGTGACTTAATATATAGGTGCAGTGGCGTTTTAATGCCCACTACAGGACAAAACATGCTTTTTTCCCTCATTGCGTATGTATTTATAGGCTCTTGAAGCTCAGAATAAGCTCAAAAGTATGTACTCCGGTTTAACAAGGCTGACAGTAAATACTCGCTTGTTTATTATGCACTCTATGTGAAACTGACCGATTGAGAATAAGAATCATGCAGAGTGGTCTGGAGTGAATTGCTCTGTTCTAGAGTAACTTATCGAACTGGATTTTCTTTACAGTGGTGTGATCGGAACCTGAAGTCTACCACACAAATTTAGCCACTTTAATTATCCAAAACCACAAGTGAACCTACATATGTTCTATGACCTACATGTCTTAAGAGTTTTACACGTAAATGTCAATAGTAGAAAGATGGCAAGTTTGAAAAAAAGTTTTCTTTAAGGACTATTTTGCCTTACAATGCTCTGCATGTATGAATTTTTAAAAAGTACATTTTAGGCCAAAATCTTATCTTCAAGTTATCAAAAAAAATTACTCGGGCATCAGACAGCGTGGTTTCCATAGTATATGGGTCAGCAACATACTGCTCCGGAGTCGCTTGCGGCTCTTTTACTGCACTGTTGCGGCTCCTCTCTCTCTATACATATATAAACTGTAGTGTTCTAACACAGTTTTAACAAAAAATGGTCTTAAATGCCAGAGTTCATCCAGAAACGGTCTTACACGCTGCTAATTCACTAACCTTTAACCCTGAAGGTTGGCGTGCAGACTGCTGGTCACCGTAATAACATAGACAACAATCTCACCTAACTAGCAGCCAACGAAAAAGAGAGAGATTTAAGATGAACATCGATAATTTGGAGACGAATGGTTATATTTGCACTTAGAGGCACTCAGCTGGAAAAGTTTCCTGCCAGAAAAGCGAGAAAAGCGGCTGTAGCTGAGCTAAAGCTTAAAGCAGAGCAAAGTAAGTCTGTGTTTTCGTTTAGTGCACATACTGAGACATATTTACAGCCAAGATGGTACAATAAAAATAAAATATTGTGGCTCCCAAGGTGGTTTAATTTTTGTTGACAGGACAAAATGGCTCTTCTTAACACTTGGTTTGCCGACCCCTGACCTAGTATGTCAAAATGATTACTTACTTTATCAAAAATTATTATCTTGAAAAAATTACACTTTATCTAAGAGTAGCAACAAAGAAAACCAACAGAATAAAGTGGTTATTTTTAGAAGTCAAACTTTTGAAATAAGTTAAAGTATGGACATGCTGCTAGAGAGAGAAAAAAACTATTACAATTATCTTATTGTTATAAAACTACCTTTTCCTTAGTGATAAACTCGCTTTCATACAAAAATCATGTGAGCCAAACACCTGGCTGTATTGTGCTGCTTGTATGTTTCATTGCACAGTTGTATCTGTGTTCATTTTAGTAGATAAGCTGCTAAACTGGCCGTCCCCACCAGCACAAACTGATCAGTAATTAGTACCTCTTTTAGTAAATCTGCCCCTCAGTTCCAGAAAAGGTTGTTCAAACTCAATATCTCAGTGCATTGTAAATGGTAACACCACTTTACTACAAAGTTGTAAGCAGGTTTACTTATTTCAGTACAAATTGACATTTTACTCAAATTAAAAATTGTCTCAAATGAGAAATTTGTAGACCTGAAAATAATTTGTTAAACTGGTTTCCCGGCTTTGTTTAAGTAAACTTTTGATATAGTTTACAGTGTGGTTCTTTAAACAGCCATTTGTTGAAAGGTTCTTTAGGGAACCTTCTATGCCATCACTCCAAAGAACCCTTTTTGGCACCTTTATTTTTAAGTATCCATTTTGAGCTTTTCTAAGATTACTTGTTGAGATGCACTTGTGAGGAGAAAAAAAATAAACAAAAGAAAAGGTTGTGGCAGGCTGATGATATTTTGTGGAAGGCCCCACGTGTTGTATATGGGTTGTACTTACGTTTGTTTCATGTGAAGACCAGCAGTTTCTGCCTTACTGAACAAGAAATGTGGAAAAAATACAAATAATTCTCGCTTTTAATTATAATTCAATTGGTTATATTTATAATTGATATGAATTATAATTGCCAATTCCTAACAGAACAGTACAGGTGTAATGCAGATGAGTAGTATTAGTATCTATATTTGGCCTGATTTAAAAACATTTTAACATTTTTAAAATAACAACATGGCTTCCCAAAGGTGGTAATTACAATTATTATTATTATATTATGGTCATTATGAGTACAATCATGACAAAATCAATGAAGATTAGAATAAAAAGACTTGTCTTAGTCTTTTTACGGCTACAGTTGATGAAATAGCAGTTATATTTTTATGTAAATTGTATGCAGGTTGCACCTAATTGCTACATTAATGTTAAAAAAGAATTGGACATTGCATAAAAAAGTAATTTGCTATGTAATGACTATCATTAAGGAGCCAATTCAATGAGAACATAATATAAAATACAGCTATATGTATTAAATATGTAAATGCTGGAGATAATTTAGAATATTTTTGTTCCAATTTTGATTTTTTTTATTATCCCATTTGCAGAAGCTGCTCAACATTCGCTGAATTCCATTCAACACATTTGCAGCTGGTGAAATGAATGTTTACTTTTCATTAGTTTGTTGTATTTTTTATTTATTTATTTATTTATTTTGGATATTCATGAAAGTGTGTACATTTCATTTTTTATTGCACAATGATGTTTGGTAAAAATTTAGTAAAGAAAAAAAGTATTGCTGATCTTTGTTCACTTTGTTGAAATTCATGTTGTAAGTAAGAAAAATCGAACAAGGTTTAGTGCTTTTTTTTGTACAGGTTGTTTATGTATCTGATAAATTACAGATAATAAATGACAAGATACTGGTGTGTAAGAGCTGCGTACTGTCTTCGTTCAGCAAAATGAAGACACGATCACGTAACTAGATGATTCAAATAGTTGAATGGACTAATATAAACAATCCAAAGTTCCTTTGAGAATCTCGTTACAGTAACAGACGTTAAGATAAACTTTTTGTGATGAAATATTGGATGTTGTGTTCACCAGGCCAAAGAAGAAAAGGACCATCCAGATTGTTACCAGCGTAAAGTTCAAAATCCAGGGTCTGTCATGGTGGGGGGTGTATTAGTGCCCATGGCATGAGTAACTTGCACATCTGTGAAGGCACCTTTAATGCTGAAAAATATATACACATTTTGCAACAACATATGCCGCCTGCTAGACCACATGTGTCAGGCTCCAGTCCTCACGGGCCAAAAGACTGCAGACTTTAGTGCTCTGCCTCATTAAACTCACTTGCTTCAGTTCATCAGCTAATTAGCAAGGCCTTCAAGAACTGAATTCAGAGTGTGAGATGAGGGTAAACCAGCATTCAACAACAACGACTGCTGTAACTGACGTAACGTAACTGAGGCCAAACTCAATTGAATATTTAAACCCTGGCAATGCGAAAATGATCTTGTTCATTCGTGTGAAACAAACCAATGATATTATTTGTTGACAAATCATACAAAGCGAAGAGAGCCTGCAGCTTCATTCGCCCTTATGGGTCATTTACGACCCCTCTGTACCTGAGATGTTCTGTAACGTTAGCAGGGAACATCCTAACTAAGCAGATAAAAGTGGTTCTTTTTTTGTTGGAACTACAACTTTTAGAAAACAGTCACTCAGGTGCCACAACAAGTCTCTCACATTGCATGTACAGCAGTGAAAAAAGCCACTAGCTCATCTGGACCGCTGGACATACAACAGATGAACAGTGAAGCCGGTTCCAAGTTGACCAAGTTAGTCACAACAGCAGAAAAACTTTTCGCCGACTAAAAACATGAGATAGATCTTCAAATTAAAAGTGGACTGGAACTTGGTAGCCAGAGCTGTACCAGCATGGCTTGCCGAAAGTAAGGTAATATTTGCTAACTTACACAAGCTAATGCTCATCTAAGATTATTAATAACTTTAACGAGACTGTATTTACGATAAAACAGAAATACAA